ATAAAATAACAAAGTATAGCTCATTTTGTTTTTTGAAATCATTGTTTCCTTGATAAGATTGTATATATATTACCCCCATTGTCTTTCACTACATAGTTATTATTATCTACGTTTTTTGTGAATAATTTAAGGATGAAACAACAATAGTTACACCCACTTCCTGTTTAGATTATTATTATTAGTAGTAGTATAAATATATACAATTTCAAATGAATCTTTATGCCAAAGAATATAATTTTGTTAGATATATTCATGACTACTATCACAACTAACTATTTGTTTACATACATTGATGTTTGTTATAACACATTATTGTTAATTGTTTATAAAGAATATCTTATTATTATTTAGTATTCTCTTGAAAAAATAGTCTATTCAAAACTATTATAATTTCACAATAGAATTGTAAAAACTATATAAGTAGTATATATTTTGTTTTAAAAGATGAATTGAGTATTAATTTAGTTGTTATTCAATAACCTATATAAATGACATTTTAATACATTGATTATACGTTAAAATTGATTATTTAGTTATATGTTCTCTGAAGAAGTGGCTTACACCAAGTCACGAAACGTCAGAAAATCTAATTTTTCTACTCATTGGGATATTACAAACATATTAATTTATTTATAAAATTAATTATGTTTAATCCTCTCTTGGCGATTCTAAAAACAATAAACTGTCGATGATAATATTTTATTGAGAAAAGCATGTAAGAAGTTTGGTAGTTCTGAATGCTTCATTAAAAAGTATGCAATCAAAAAAGCCAAATATTATCAGCAAAGATAGATGGTAGCTAGAAGTGGAAACCAGGACCCGCGTTTCGTCCTATTTGAGACTCGTCAGCTGAATCAACCTGTATCTCAAAGTGTCCAGGAGTGAACATCGACTCTGATATGTAGATACATCTAGCTGAAGAGTCCCAAAGAGTGTGAAACGCGTGTCCTGAATTCCATTTTTAGCCACCATCCATCTTTGCTCATAATATTTGTGACTTAAGGCAATCCGCACAGGATGCACATACGTCAATAAGAGACTGATCAATTGCAGTCTTAAACATCAATGGGAAGAATCAAATGAACAATACAAAATTAAGCCAAATATTAGTTTTATGAAATATATGTAACAAGCTTCATGAAAATGACGCCCAGTACTTGAATGGCGTAACGAAGATTTTTGATGCATATATCTAACGATGTGACTTAGCACAGTAATGAAAAAGGTATCATTGAATTATTCAGTTTACAGAAGCTAATCTTATTAAATTCCGGAAGATTTAAAATGTCAATTATCGATGTTTATTTGAAAACCTTAAGCCATCGATTGTTCAGATTTGACAGCTCGTGTCTTTATGTTGATTACATGTTGGTTATGAATACTCATTATAATGTTTAGAAAAATAAAGTCTTTACTAGTAGGAGCTTTTAGTTATCTGTGACGAAGAAGTGAGTAATTCGAAGCGGTTCATCAATGTTTTATTAGTGGGGATGCAGAATGAATCGATCCAAAAAATATTTTCAGAAAACCTTTGACTAATCTATATTATTTAAATTCTTGAGCTTGCGGTATAGTGAGATCTAGTATTTGGAGATTGAGGTGTTTGCCTTAAATAACTCGCGAAGACATTATCGCTTCATATATTTTGAAATGCAAACAAAAAGAGATTATCATCCTTCTATCAAGCACAAGGGAATAAAAATTTCACTCAAGGTTTTTCTGTTCACCGTTTGGTAACAGGCCTTAGTCTAGATCCAACATCAAAGAACTCATTTCTGAATTTCAGCTCGCCGTATATCTCTATGATCATAATTGCTCAGTAATTCCCATTAATTTTACAACTAAATAGTTTGCTTTTCAATTCATATACACCAGTTATATGAATCTTCACATAAATGTTTAGGACTACCATTGATCAGTCTCTGTTAGTATATATGTATCCCGTGTGGATTACTCCGATATTGCCATCAAGTCACGAGCATTTTAAGCAAAGATGGATGATGGTTAGCAGTGGAATTCAGGATGTACTTTTCGTCCTATTTGGGACTCGTTATCCAGATGTACCAGTTAAGTGGATAACGCTATGGCGTTTGAAGGGAACGGTACTGCGTTTGAGTCTAACTGACGAGTTTACGTGTTACACGAAATAGTTTATCGCCCATGTAGTATAACTGTAAGTAATATCATAACCCTTTCTTTATTATCTAAGTTGTCACGGATTAATCATGTTTGGTTTTGTAATTTATTTACAATCACATCTAATTCGTATTTCTTTTGCGTATTTTAACATACTTAAATGTTGTTTATATGATTCGTTCTAGATTCTATTGACAAATATTTACTCATACTTAATACATTTCTCCAACAGTTTCTTTTGATTAAAATATTTCTGGTATCAGTGTGATTTAATATGTTTATACTGATGGTTTCGTGAAGAATTAATGTAGTTTAAGTCCACCTTTATTCGATAGCTTACATTAACTAAAGAAGCACTGCAAAACATGTAGATTTTGATGTGTTTTGTCTTCATTCTAAGCTCCTCTTCATTATTCACTCCATACTAGAGTGACCCCAAGATGGTTAGGTTATATGGAAAGGTTGTAATCAATTAACCACTGAATAAGAACTTAATGACTCACACTCAAAATATCAGTGAACACCAATTAGCTTCAAGGTTGGTTTATCGATCATCCTAAGAAATACTGTAACTAGTAAAATCGCTCCAGTTAGAAAGGACTCAGTCAACTGCCTAGGGTAGTGGATTTGTATTGTATCATATCACAAACCATCTGAAGTTGAAAATTCCGACAAATACCAATGAGATAGCTGCAACATGGAGAGTGATTAGGTGAGTCCTACTACCTATGTATTCATCTATTTAGATTACTAGCAAGATTCGAACAAGTAGACTAGTGGTTCTTTATTTTCAGTACTTGTTCAGTTAATATCAACTCGTGGTTAAAATTATAAGTGTATACTTCATTCTTTTCAGTACTATTTTATTCTGCTTAACATGGAAATTTAAACGAAAATAAATATAATCGTTATATAACTATTAATTCAGTGTCATCAACTGTCATAATTATGATACAGAAAGTGTGGTCACAAAACTGGAACCTCTTCTATACTCATGAATCACTTGAAGTTAAAAACTTGAAATTCTTTATAAATGAAATCGATAATAATCCAAAGCCGTTTATTATGCACATGTTTCTTTCCAATCTTCTTCTAGAACCAGCTCTTAAGGGTTTTTGAATGATTCTGAATGAAGATACTAGTAGAGATAGATGACTGACAAGGGAGTTGCACATAACAAAAGCTTCCGGGGTTTACCATTTTAAGCTCAATATTTAAGTTTTTTGACCAACTTATGAAAGCATTGTAAAAAACTCAAAAATTTTCCATTCCTTATTGTAGATTATTATGTGAAATAACCATGAATACGATTGTAACGTTTTAATAAATAACATGGTAGTTAAGAAAAAGAACTAGTTGTTAAAGTATATAAAAGATATGTTTTGAGAAATTTCATACACATAGTTCCCATTATTATCTTAAATAGAGCAAGAACAAAGATTGGTGCAGAATAATATGAATTTATTTTATTTCGTATGGTTCTCATCAGCTGCTTACAACCTAAATTATTTGAGAATCAGAGTTATTACAGATAATGACATAAGGGGGTGATTAAGGATGAATATATGTATCATGATGTAGAGAAGATTCCGATAGAGATAATAAAGTGATAAAAATTTTGTTTCAGATAAATAAAGTTTGAGAGGGAAAGTTCCAGAACGTTGAATTAGCGATGAGAACTCATGGAATTAAAAAAAACATTAGATGATTGTGTAATTAAGATATGAATTGGAATTAGTCGGTTATGAAGGATGTAATTTCAAACTTCAGAAAGAGTTGGAATAATGAATAACGTAATAAATATAAAAAAGTGGGTTTAATGTTACGATAAATCTTTCTTTTACCTGGTAACATTACCTCCCCCCTTATTATTATTATTTTTATTTATTACGTCACTAATGACTCTGATTTTCAAATATTTTAGGTTGTAAGCAGCGAAATAAAATACATTCATATTACTCTGCACCAATCTCTGTTCTTGCTCTATTTAAAAGATATGTTGTTTTGTGGATTGATCATGAGATCAGTTTAGAATAAAAACTATAAAGTATTCCAAACCACAGTTTACATCCTATGAGCGGGAATATTGAATTGATTATGCTCAATCCAAATTATTAGACATTTTATAGACTTAAAAAGAACACAACTTTTGCATTAGAAGACCTGACGATTTAAACCAAATAACTCCAGTGTTTTACTGTGTAGTCTGATTCGAGGTTTGTCTTAATAACAATAAAATGTTTAAAAATTATTGAATATCTACAAAGTTATATACTCCATACTAATTTACTATCTAATTGCTTTAATTATTTGAAAGACGAAATACGCCTATCTTTTCTCTAATGAAGTTTGTTCAGGAAATTCATTAAATAGGTGACTAAAATGAACATATGACGTTTAGACTCTTTCTAGATTTGATAAGTAGTAAAATCGAAACGTTAATTATTGAGAAAAATATAACTATGGATAACATCTATGGATGAAATTGATTTCTTATTGTATGGGGACACTTCAAAGTTATAATTAATAATCAATTATGGTAGTGATTTTTGGAAGTAAAACGTTAATTCAACCTTTAATTCAATTTGTAATAGTTTGGATGGAAGAAATGGTACTGGGTTCAAGTTCTAGGATGAACTTCGACTCTGGGATCCATCTACATTCAATTGATTAGTCTGAAATAGGATAAAACGTGCATCCTGGATTTCATCGGTAACCAAATTTAATCTAATCTATATTAATTAAACCATTATCTTGTAGAATGAACATTTATTTACTGCTTTGTAATAATCAAAATGTATTGAATTTTTAACAATAAAGAATTAAAACAGCTATACATTTAGTTTAGTTAAAAATGATCTTACTTTTCTTAACCATTTAGACGGTTGTTCAGTTTCAGCTGTTCGAAAATGTATATTAACTGTTATACAGCATAAAAACATTGAAACTGTAATAACACCCATATTGAAACAATAATATGCGCCTAAAACATGAAGAAAAAGTACACACTGATTAATTTATTATGGCAATAAGTTGCAATGGATTAATGCATCAAATAAGATCTCACAATTACTATCTTCGGTAGTTATCATCATTTTTAATTTATCCGATGTTATGTATGTTTTGTTATAGTAAAGAATCTCTAACATAGAATGAAATATTGCAATAAATTTCACTTTAATGTGTATTTCAACATTGCAAACTACAACAGTGATTATCTAATATCTTTTAGACACACAATTATGGTTTCCTCAGATACATGGCTATTGCTTCGGCAATGGTGGAATGCTCGTTTGCCACCCGGGCAATCCGGATTCGTTTCCCGATCGATGCAACACCGCTTGGCTCAATAAGAAGTTCAGTAATCGGACACTACGCGAACACAGGTCACTCAATCATGACAGACTCTGCTTTCAAAGTCACTTACAAGGTAAGTAGAAATTTGTGAAAGGCAGTTAAATTCCATCTTCTTAACATTGCCGAAGCAATATCTATCTTGAACTGTATGAGCTTTTGATTTATCACGATTCTACAATGTTCGTTGCATCAAAATGGGAAGCTAAGTGAAATACTTATAAATTATTTACACTGAGCTTTTCACGCATTAATTTTAAGGTGGTTGCGTGGTTTGAAGCAAAAGAATAGATAAAGAGACACAGATTACAAAACAGAATCTCTCTACTGTCATTTTACAGTAATTATCACAATGACAAGTTGACAGATTTTCGAAAACGTATGAATGACTAGTGACATAAATACACAATAACTAGTTTGTTGGAATAAATTAGATCAGGTAATATCATTACAATACTTACATAGTAAATAGTTAGATAGTCTTAAGGTGGCTAATCACTGGTAATTTGTACTGTGGTCACTTTATAAGTTTTTATCCACTAAATCATAGTACAATGACCTTAATAAAAAGACTTTTTATCAGTTCTTTTTTCAAACAATATAAATACAGTTAAAACTGCAGTCTACGAGAAATAAGTACTAATGAACTTTGCAAATATTTTAGTTTCTCACGAAATATAAATTATGTTACTAATAGTAAACGAAATATGTTTGTATTCATGGTTAAATATCAACTAATGAGTGGGTCTCCAAATGCTTTGGTACGGCCAAAGGTGTAGAGAATCAGCTCTCCTCCTCGAAATGCTTTCGCATAGCTGCGCGTATCCAGCCACTGTTACGAAAGTCCTACTCATTGCCTTCTCGCAGCAAGGGTGTTAGAAAATCATAAATAAATAAAAAGAACTGAACTGTAAGCTATAACAGTGTACTTTCTTGTACGAATCTTTATTCACAAAAAACTAGCAACGTGACTTAAATTTCTACTCATAACTGCTTCTCTGAAGAAAACATTAAAAAAATATCTTCTAAATCCGCTTATGAACTATTGAACAAATTATGTTAATCGTAGAAACCGACTGGTCTACAAACGCTAGGGTGGAGTTGATGTTGAGAAATAACTTTTCTGGTAAAACTTACCAATCTGTCTTCTCAGAAACTTTCCAAATTTTATATGAAAATAAGAAGATAAACTGTGGTAATCACTGTTTGCAAAATGAGCGACTGGTAAAACCGGTTACATCAAGTATCTCTCTAATTACTTGTGTTATAAAATACTCTCCGTTATATTTTATTTAAATTATTTACCAGTTCCTGCAAAATAAAAGATTTAACTTTAGTTTTGATTACAACCAATATGCTTCCAGGTTTTCAATGGTGGTCTAACATCAGTCGATTCGTGATCTCTATCAAAAACTTAATAATCTCCCAAATCCCATACTGATAATTAACATGTGCTTACTAGTGACTAGCTTCGTGGGGGAATTCTCAGAGTTCTAGTGAGATGCCGTGACCAGTGGAACTAATCTATGTCAAGTAGAGACAAGTATCTACCTCAGTACAATGGAAGATGGTCGCACAATTTCGTGAATTGGTTGAGGTTAGACATTAACACCGTTGGATACCGGCTCAGTGATCTAAAGGTTTAAAGCTCGCGGACAAGACTGATAGGTCCTGTATTCCAGTCTCACGAGCGGGATCATGGATGCACACTGCTGAGGAGTCCCACAGTAGGACGAAACGGCCGTCCAGTGCCTTGAGGTTTTCAATGGTTGTCTAACATCAATCGGTTTATGATTTCAATCAAAATCTTAATGTTAGTACCCATAAACAACATCGATCACAGAGTTTTCATGTTCGTCTTCTTAAGTATGTGATAACTAATTGATTCAGATTTTATAAGAGCCAATTGAATGAATATTCTTCTATATTTACTAAATCTATGAATTTTTATTAGATAAGTGAGTATTTCAGATGACTAAATAACCTCTATTTTATCAGTGACGTGTCTGGAATTATACGTTTGCCTGAGATAACAATTAATCAAATAAATAAAATGCCAGAATAATTAACAATGTTATATATGTAGATACTATGCATGGGTTTGATTTTTAGTACTATAATATCAGTATTTTAAAGAAGGCAGATATTCCCTATTAATGAGTGGTAATGAGCTGGAAATTTAGATTTACAGTATCTTAAAAAGTTGTTTTACTACAGTTTATATTACCTTACTTCATCCTTTGATACACAGATTAGTTAGAAATAATGTTTGATATCAATTATTGTCCAGTGGTTAACTTTTGAATGAGTTAACTCATTCTATTATTATCAACCAACATCAAAGTCAGAATTTTCAAGACAAATGTCATAACATTTTTACTGTATGGGGCAGAAACTAGGAGAAATACTACAACCATCACCCAGAAGATACAGGTGTTTATTAACAGTTATCTACGCAAAATACTTCGGATCCGTTAGCCAGACACTACAGGAAACAACCTACTATGAGAGAGAACAAACCAGATCCCAGCGGAGGAAGAAATCAGGAAGAAGCGTTGGATGTGGATAAAACACACATTGAGGAAATCACCCAACTGCGCCACATGACAAGCCCTCAAATGGAATCCTCAAGGCCAAAGGAAAAGAGGAAGACCAAAGAACATATTACGCTGGGAAATCGAGATAGACATGAGAAAAATGAACAAAAGTTGGGTAGAAAGGAAGGCCCAGACGAGAGTGGGTTGGAGAATGCTGGTCGACGGCCTATGCTCCATTGAGGGTAACAGGCGTAAGTAAACAAGTAAGTAAGTCATTCTGTTGTCAACTGATTATTGATATTTTTACTTTATTTGTGAATCAACTAAAGTTTGATAACAATTCAGTTAATGATGTTAAGATGAAAAATTCGAAACGAAACAGAATCCTAATAATTGGATTAGAATACAAAATAATATGATTAAACATAGATGAGATTGGAGCGTTGAAAATAATAGTAATGTAGAGTTATACTCTGTAAGCTTTATTTTCTAATCACAAATTCTGTATTTTATACATCTTATTATGACTTTCGGTTTTATTCCAAATAATCAACCCAACTTTACTAAGGTATTTTAGACTCTTATCATTAATCGTATTACTCAATGTAATTTAAAAAATGTTAATATCTGATAAGGAACCAGGAGAAATAAACTGATTCAAGTCATTATGGAAATCTTGTTGTTCCTGTCTTATCTAGTTTTGTAAAGATTATATATAAGATAATTTTAGTTCCAAAGGAAAATAATACATTATTCCATTGTGATTATGAAAGAAAACTGATTAAAGATAGAGGGTTATAGGATGGAATCTGATAAAACTCCTTTATCAAGAAGAAGAATACTTTTGACAAGGGGAAGACTGAAAAACTGTAAATAAATGCTAGCTCTAAAGGAATATTTGGATTTTCACATTAATCGAGTCAACTGGTCAGCTGACAGAAAGGATAGATTCAATAAACAAGTTGGTAAGTTATATTATGGAAATCTTTTCTATCTTATAGCATATTTTAAAGATACACTCCGCTCACTATCAAATATCATTGCCATCAGTTTCGAAAAAAACATTGTTGAGTGGCGTTTAAATACAGATAGTGTGTTGTATGCTAGTTATACGGATAGGCATAAGTAGTATGTATCGGGAATTAGAAGTAGGATTATTACTAACAGAAGAGAAACATTAGAAGATAAATAAAAATAAAAGCTGCCCAAATAGCAACAGGAAAGGAGGAACGATTGAATCTGTAAGAGACAACTCAAAGAAGATGTGCAAATGGTTTTATTCAATGCATTGTCTTTATATTCAACAAATGCAGTATATGATTTGGTTTGGCACAATAAACTTGTTTACCACATCCCAGTCTTCGCTCATTACAATAACACAGTAAAGCAACTGAATTATTAGTTTGCAAGTAAAAAAATACTAACATCAAGAATAGACTTTTTCGAATAGCGTATAACTGTTATTATTATAATGATCGTAAAATTTTCGGACCTTATCTTTATCTACTTATTAGAATTTTTAGTTTCTCAAAGGTAAATATCTATTCTCATCCTACTTAAAATGGTTGTTTGGGCAGTTGGCTTTGAGGTAACCTACATATACTACTTGTTAAACTACTACCATTTAAATTCAGAATATGACAGACAATAAATATAAAACGTTTAAGTGTGTCCTCGGTTATTCCGTTAAATTGTTAAGATAGAATTTTCTCAACAAATTATGTAGTTTAATTGGATGAGTTGCTTGTTGTCAATATTATAATGATAACTGATATGACGGGATAAAAGAGGCAAAACTAAATATTTTATTCATTGGGACTTTTGGTTAACGTTGTTTTCGTTTTTAATTCAATATGAAGATTACTCAGTATAATATTTGTTTTATTTGCAATGTGAGGTAGAGGACAAACACTGTGTAAATAATCAAATTGGATCAAAAGGTGAACTGCAATTTCGAATCCTTAGGGCAACAGAAATAGGGACAGTCAAAAAAACCACACTGTACCAGGAATTTGAGGTAGAAGTTAAAGTAATTAGTAGAACCTGGCAACAACTGGAAAGTAGAGCCCAGGACAGAGTAAGTTGGAGATTGCTGGTCAACTGTCTATAATCAATGGGCGGTAACAAGTGCAGGTAAGTGGTATTTATTTTAGTGTAATGTTTTTTTTCAAGATACGATATTCCTGTATTAAATGAACGTAGACTATGTTCAGCACGACATTCAGCATATGATCTGTTATGATTTTAAACATTTTTCTAAATGATAATCAAAATAGATGTACAAATGATAAATAAATGGTTGTATTTTCAACAAGAATCGTCTGGTGCATTTCGTAGTCAATAGGTCTTAACTTACACCAGTTTTCCTAGTTATGGAAATTGTTATGATTTGTCATTTTCAAGTATAAGTAATATGAGTATGTAATATGACGGACAATGGATTTTTAAGAATGACATAAAGATATATATATATATATATAGTCTGTTTTTATTCACTTACCAAGTAGTGGGAAGTTACTTGCAGCTGCTGGAGTTGTATCTTCCAATAAGAGATGAAGTAGAAGAAACGCAACAAATACATTCATTGCTGTAATAAATTAAAAGTTTTGAAAATGAAAGAAAACGAAACACCTACATCTGTCGAAATTGAACAATGAATAAATGTACTTTAATTAAATAATATATCTAATATAGAGAGAGTTTATTTAATTATTGAAGATATTCATAACTATAATATTAATTCACTTGATATTGTTTTACTTGAATCTTCCCATTGATGTTTTAGGACTGAAATTGATCATCAACTCTGAGATGCAGTCACATCCAGCTGACGAGTCCCAAACAGGGCGAAACGCGCGTCCTGGATTCCACTGCTAGCCACTATTCATCTTTGCTTATAATGCTCGTAGATTAAGGCAATATCGAGGCATACACACAGTATGCACATATGCCAATAAGAGACTGATCAATTTCAACATTGAAACTGTAATAACACCCATATTGAAACAATAATATGGGTTCGAGTCCCAGAGTGAACATCAACTCTGAGATGCAGGTACATCCAGCCGACGAGTCCCAAACAGGGCGAAACGCGCGTCCTGGATTCCACAGCTAGTCACTATCCATCTTTGCTTATAATATTAATGTTCATATAAATGAAGCCGGAAAACATAATTTGACATAAAGGTCTAATCCATAAAGCAATGAAGTAACGTAGGGAGATGCAGTCTCATGGTAGACAGTGATCAACAATTGGTTCATACGTCAATTGTTTCCTTAGAATTCTGGAGACCATGCACATTATTGGTTTGGAATCAGGGTTTTCCAACTCCTCTAGATGGACGCTCCGTGTCCACCAACCCGATTAAAGTGCCAGGCATTCGCCTTTTGTTTTCTCAATTTCGTAAACAACGATCCCGCCACGAGAATGCAGTGGTTATATGCACGTGGCCATATGAGAGCATTTCGAGAGGGAGAGCAAACTCTCTCCACTCCCAGCTATACAAGGGCATTTGGTGATTATTTCAATAGACTAGCCGAACTAATAAAAAATGAATGATATTTTCTGCGAATTTCTTTTTAAATATTCTACAATTAAAAATACGAAAATGTGTCCATAATAATTAATAGTTCATTATTTATTTCATTAGATTAAGAACAATGAAATATCATAATCTTAAAATAATCGAAAACATACAGTTAATTGATGCTTAGCAAAGAAAAAATAATGATGTCTACATAAAATAATGATGGATATTTTTTTGTCGTTTTCAAAATGTCGGCAACAACGGTCATTTCGGGTCATAAATATTTATCATTTGGATATATATATATATATATATATATATATATATATATATATATATATAATTTCATTCTGTTATAAATCAGGAATATGAAAAATCAGCAAGAATGCAAAGCACATTATAAATTTGATTCAAGATTATCGAAATGAAAAGCTCAGCAAATTAAAGAGTAAAAGAAAGAGAGAGTGAGAGTGATAAAGAGTGAGTGGATAAGAAATCATCAAACACAGAGAAATGAGATTATCTCATTGAACAGAAGAAATGATAACATCCATTCAATTATGCATTTCAACAAGTTCAATATTACATTGTCTTTGCTTGCCTTCTTTTCTTTCTTTCTGTTTCTCTCTCTCTCTCTTTCACACTGTTATTCCTTTCTGTTGAATTTTTTCTTATTTAGTTCTCTTTTGTTTCATTTCTCTTTTAATTTATGTTGATATATATTCTCTAATCTAACATTTGAACTTCTTCATTCTTCAATTCAATGTAAAAGAAGAATATTGCTTTTTAATCAACAAACAACTATGATAATTGATTATATATATATGTGTACAGATATGTTAAAAACTTGTCTTTGGTTCTAGGTATTTCTTTTTCTTTTTGTTTTTTGAGGCTCATCAAAGTAAAAGAATCAACAAAGAAAAGAAAGAATAAATACATAAGATATATTGGCCTACAAACATGTATTTAGACAACTGAGGTGGGTGGGTGGGTGGATGGATGGTGGGTAATAAAAGTTCAACTGAGAAAATGTTGAAATATTGAACAGAGATAGTACGAATAGCTAAACAGTTTTTAAGAGTTCAGGACATACGTCACTCAATAATCAATAGACATATTGAAATCTACGAGTTAAACAGAGGGAAAATAACATTCATATTAAAATTCAAGCCAGTGAAAAGAAGATAAAAATTAATTGTGTAATAATGACAGCACAATTGATAATTGCAGGTAGAATAATTTATTATTCGTTTATCAATTTTACAGGGGATTACAGGTTTCTTCAAAAAAGAAAATGATTCTATTTGGTGAATTTCCACGAATACGAAATTTAAGTCATAAAATACTGTTAACTAATTAAAGGTATCAAATGGTGTACAAAGGGGTGGTATGATAGAGTTTAACTTAGTTTACTGAATACACTTCATACTGTAACTGATAAATTCTTTTCATTTGTGGTTTACATGTTATGTTAGAGGCAGTTTTCGGAACGTCATAAAATTTATTGAACTGGGTAGTATGTTTTTTAGACTTATGATTTCATAGTATTTGTCTAGGTATAAGACAATAAAAAAGATAAACTGAGTATATGTATTTAAAGTCTTATCGGTTCTTTGTAAGTAGATGTGAATGAGAACGTGTCTTAACTACATCAAGTGAATCACTGACTGGAGTTTCTTCTGATTTAACAAAAAACAGATTAACTAACTTAATTGTTGAATTTTGAAAAAAATCTTTGACAAATACTTTCTTCTTTAACTGTGGTACAGTAGGTTTAGCTTTAACTTTAAAAAGTCTTGGTAGAGTTTTGTTCTCTGAGCTGGATGGTTTAGTCTTAGAACTTTCATCGTTATTCTGGACGAAATCATTAGCAAAAAATTCAGGTAGGATTTTGTTTAGAATAATTATGAAAGCATCACAACCAAATTCCTCAGCTCAGTAAACAAAACTCCACCAAGATCATCCACTTGAGCTACAAATCTCCTCCACCAACTAAGAAAATCGATTTTATGTGTATTTCCAATGAATTTATTTAACATAAATAAATCTTTGAAAATTTCTCTTTTAGGTTTCAATTTTCAGTTAGTTTTAATATCGAATTTTAATTAGTTGCATATCACTAGAATTCTAGGAACACATTTGCAAATGCATATGATACATTAGAGTGACTCAGTATAGTTTATCCATACAATCAAACTAAAAAAATATCCCAACTTCACATCGAGGATAATAATTTTAAACCTTCAATGTAGAAATTCTGTTTCATTTCTTCATTCTAGACTAAATAAAACATATTAACTTTTATTAAATGTAAATACTTTAAAAATTTTCCCTTTAAGTGTTAAATTTACTTATTTGAATCTTAACTTCTATTATAAGTAGTCACTGATAATTTAATTCAAAATAACAGTAACAGATTCATAATCAAATTAATCAATTCCAAATAAAAGAGAAAACAAGCAACGTCATGAAATACTTTCACATTTAATCTACAATTGTGTCGTCTATCATTTTGATAAAACCTAGTAACAATACAAAAATATATTAAGTTTCTTGATGAAGGAAAGTGACATATAATAACAATAATAATAATAGTAGTAGTAGTGGTAGCGGTAGTAGTAGTAGTAATAATAGTAACTGAAAGAATAAAAAGGCAATTAAACAGAAGTTAGGTTAAACTGTTGAAAACACTAAACTACTTTTATGTATATGGATTACCTGAAGAAAGTGTAATATGATATTTTCATCAAAAATAAGTTCAATAATTTGAAAAAGAAATTTATTGCTGATGTTACACAACAATATGCATTATGTTAAATGATGAATGTTATTTTATAGTGAAGAATTAATTATCAAGTTATGTCACTATGTGAATTATAAGTGCATCACCATGTTTTTTTTTGTTTCTATGACATATGCAATAGTGGTTTCATAAAAGAATTCGTTTCCAATAATATTTATATTCTCCTATACGTTGTAATAAATAAATAATGTTAATTTATGGTTGTGGAATCAAGTTGTACACGTATTCGGATTCTTTGAATGTTCACAATTGATTGATCACTGTGTAGTGATCACTGCATAACACTGGTCGCCATTCAATGATCAATACCATCTTAGATTATGAAGGAAGGCGATTTGCGTCCGAATCTCCCTCGAGATCACGGATACGATTTTCTGAAGAAGGTCAACTAGAATGAAACCTAGGTTTGGGGTTTTCTATTGGTTTCTCTCAACCCCGTAACATTTGTTAACGTTTGCTAAACTGAGAATGGATAATAATATCTATAAAGTATAAAACTTTAGAAAATGACGATTCACAGTAATGGTAATGAGCTATAAATGAAAGGTACGACTGATATTGTGTGTAATAAAATAATACGTAAAACGTTTTAGAAAACACGATATTCCAATACAAATGATGGCTCCATATAGGGGAATGTCAATGAAGTTTGTTGACTCATAAAAGTAAAATGAAATAAGGTGGATAATGCTCAAATTGTAAAGTACATTAATTGAATGGATTACTTAACTTTTGAGTTTTTTGTGTTTTCTAAACTTGGTGGGTTAACCGTGAAGATTTCACTTTCTTCCTTTTTGGATATATTATGATATTGTATGACCTGAAGATAGTTCATACTAAAAACTGATATTGGCTGAGAAACCGTTGATAACAAAATTGAACGTGGTAGGTTTCACTTCTTAATTTAGTACTATGCAACATTGTTCACTCAAAACTTAATTATGCACTAAACCAAAAGCTTCGGCTCTTGTGTTAAGCATAATTCATTTCAGACAACTGAACCGGAATCCAGTGGTTGGTTTACTTAATGCAATAGGTTTTGACATGACAATATTCACAGTCAGTATCATCAGAGGAAAAGTATTCCACTAAGAACATGACTGAGTACTCAAGTTTTAACTTCCTGTTGAAATGTCGGAAAATTCATGTCAATCCTAGCCCCTAGATGCTTTTTAGTCTATTCTTTATGGAGAATTACTTATCTTAACAATGATTTCTTTCATTATCCGAGGTCAGAAATATAAAATCTTCGAGCAG